CCCTGTGACCTGTTTTGTAGCAGGAGCGTGAGGCCTGGTAGAGAGATCTGGGGATTTGTCGAGGGGGGAAGGCAATCTAGTGGCAAACTAGGAGGTACTACCAAGACAACCTTTGAGGCCGGGTACAGTTTTGGTAGTGAGAACACAACAGCGATGGCAGGTATTGGGCAGGTTGATTTTATCTTTGGAGTGCCGAGTCTGGTTTAGGGGAAAGCTAAGAGTTGATCATTGATTGTGAGGCTGCGAGTTGCGGATGTAGTCATCATCTTTGTCATCACCAGCTGATTTACCCATCTCCATCGTCTTGAGCATCATCATCATTAGTATCATTATCTCAGTCTTCGTAGAATCAGCAGTTAAAAAAAAAAAAAAAAGAAAGTTATATCAAGCTTTCTGGTGTTCTGTAATGCTTAGCGGCATCTAGTCTTCTTCCTCATTCGGGATATAGCATACGTGCAAGCAGACGGACCGGACGAGCGTCCGGTACAGTCCGCTTTGCCGCTTGCGGCACCCTCCCCCCCGGGCCGGAGGGGGCCGGTTTTTTTTTTTTGGGGGGGGGGGGGGGGGGCGTAACTGGTCATCGGGCGCACATTCGTGTGCCGTGCGGGTCCGGTCCGGCAGTCTGCTGCACGTGCGGAACCGCCCGGACAGCGTCCGCTTGCAAGTATGGGATATAGGATTTCAGGGATGGTCGAATCTGGACTGATATCTGCAGCGTTGCTTTGTTCTGTGCCCCTGGTTTGCCGATGCCAGAACGACGCTGGCCGAAGCTGGGGCGTCGCCCTGTAACCTGCGAATGGCAGAAGTGTGAGGCCTTGTAGAGAGATCTGGGGTTTTGCTGAGGGAGGAAGGCAATCCAGAGGCAAACTGGGGGGGGCTGCCTAGACAACCTATGGGTCCAGGGATAGTCTAGGTGGCGAGAACAGGTCTGCTATTGTTGATGTTGGTTAGGATGGCATTGTCTCTAAGGTGTAATGTCCTAGTACAGGGAGGGCTAGGAGTTGTTCTTGGATTAGGAGGCCAGACTTGCTGATATAGCATAGTCTTCTATAATTTTTACATACTAATCATCATCATCATCATTGGTATTAGTATCTCACAGTTTTCATAGAATCAACAGAAGTTCATCGTCATCATCAGCATCATCATCATCATATGAGGGACGCTGAGCCCAGTTCTCAGCATGTTCGGTTCGGTCACTCCGGGTAGACTGTGAGGACCGCGGCCTCAATCTTCTTATTAATAATATCAGCCTTGGGCACTGGGCCCAGTTTCAAAAAAAAAGAAAAAAAAACTGCAACAAATAGTTAAACCACAGGCTTTGATTGATGTACATTGTACATAGGGTATTTGTAGAGTAGCCCTTATTCTGGAGCCACAGGGTCGAGTCGGTAGTGATAGCCAACTTGATAGAATAATCGATCTCAGCCCTTATCATTAGTGGGGGTATTTGTAGAAAAGATTGCCGCAGGGTTTGAGTAATGTACATAGGTTTGTTCAGACTCGTACGGTACTGTTGTTGATTTTGAGAGACAGCAGAAGAGAGAGTTTTGAGAAGATGCAGATCAATGAGCCAGATTTTTTCTAGGCCGGTGTGCCTGGCTCATCTCCCAGGGGTCGCTCTGTATCACGTAAGGGATGCTGGGCCTACCGTCTTCACCCGAATAGAGCAGTCGGTCACTATGGCCGCATGTGGACTGAAGAAGGCCCAAATGCAGCTATAATGACCGTGCGTTCTATTCGAGTGAAGACAATAGTTCCCGGCTATATAAAAGAGTGGATCTTTTTTTTTGGGGGGGGGGAATTCCTTTCCAATTTGAAAATTAAAAATGAATATTAAAAAATGACTTTTTTTCGTTTTGCTTATGTCTCGGCAGGGTGAGTGGTCCCGGGCCACTCTGGTAGCCTAGGGCCACACTGGTATACCCCTCTGTCTCTCTCTTGTGCTCCCTCTTTCTCCCTCTTTTTCCCTTTCTCTCTCTCTCTCTCTCTGTGTCCCTCTCATTCTCCTCCCCTGGAGGGGGAGAGAGAGGGCACAACTTCCAGAAGACAGTATTCCCTCTCCAAGCCCTACAAATATATATATCTGTATATACCATCAAACACTATACTATATATATCCATCTGGTGTGGGTGAGTGATAGTCTGCTTTGATTTTCGTCACGGGTACCTTGAGGGCAGTGGTTGGTGCCCACCTCAGGGTATCAGTTGTCGGGCAGTCGTTGATGCTTAACCACAGCCGGGGTTAAGGTGGATTATCACTTACAGTGTAATCAGTTAGGGG